TCTAAGGAATGGGTCTGCCTTAGGGTCATCTCCATACTCAGTAATTGGCTTGGGTGAGGGGCCCAGCCTAGGTCATCCAACTATGGCCAGAGGAGAGGGTCATATTGTAAAAAATGGCCACTCCCCCAGTAACCCCATAAAAGAGGGATGAAGCAGTTTCCAGAAAAAGCAAGAGGCTGGGCAGACCAACATTGTGTCCAGTAAATGCACACTTCCTACTCGTTGTTAAAGAGGCAGCCATGCACATGAGGAGCAAGGGTCTCTCGAAATGTGCACCTTGTGCTTTGATTTTAAGTCACATCCCAAAGGGATAGGTTGATCCCATGACATTCACTCTGCTTGGCTCCCAGAGATGAAAGGCCGACTTAACCTGGAATTTGAACTTGTTGTGATTCCCTGAAGTAGAGGGACATCAAAGTTGATATTGAGACATCTAAATCATCCTCTGCAATGTCATGTGTCTCCAGAATAAACCAGCACTATAACTACAGCACATCCTTTTCAACAGGTAAAGAGCTGATATCTGGACCATCTTGCCAGTAATATAGCTGCTCTTTTTTTTCCCCCCAATTTTGCCCTTTTGGGGAGAAATTCGATGCTGAGTTAAGACTTTTATGCTGTACAACAGGCTGCTAATAGCCAATGTTGGACAGTATTATCCCAGTATTTTATAGGGTGTCAAGCTTTTCCTAGACTTTATGTTACATAATACATAACTTGTTTGGAGTGGGTGGAGATGGAAACATAGCCTGTTGAAAATATCGCTGCTGCCTCCCTGAAATTTAAAGAGCTTATTATCATCCCTCTTTTAGATTCTGTCTCTCAGGCAAAAATCTCATAAAGATAGGCAGGGAGAAAAAGAAGGGATTGTAATATTCAGGGGTGTAGCTTTTGCATGAAGTTGGTACAGGAGCCGGCAATGCTTCATTCTGTTATACATAAGGTCGGCAGGTGTTGGAGCCAACTCAATGGCAACAAACAACAACAGTTTTTGCTGATTGAATACTGTGCTACCAGCCCTCTGTCAGCAGTCATACAAGTGGGTTTAGCTCACATCTATGGTAAGGGAGGGCAGCCACCTTCCTAGTTTAGAGTCTTCTGTCTGTCCTCGGGGCATTGCCTTACCCTCTAAACCAGCATCAACCAACATCTGGAATCATGGGCAGCTCGTGACATTATTGACTACTGCTACTGGAAAGAGCTTTGGAGCTGGAGGCACCAACTATTGTTTTGCATCTTGGGAAGGCAGTATAGCAGAGTAGATAATAGTGGGCTCCAGAATCAGAAAGAGCTGGTCCAAATCCCAACCACTGTCACGTCTTCAGTTTAAGAAATAAAGCAATTTGTTTCACCTTTCTAAACTTCAGGTTCTTTAAAGCTACAAAGGGGCAAGATGCTATACCCATCCCCAAAGTTTATTATGAGCATTAAATAAGAAAATACATGCAATTAACATGCATAATATAATCCCAGCATATAATAAATGTTCAGGCAATGTAAACTGTAATTATTTCAGTCCTGTGTCTATCGCTTTGTTCCCATGTGACCTCCAGCAAGTCATTAAACCTTAGCAACCCTCAGCTTGTACAATGAGACTGATAAAAATATTGTCTACTTCAAAAGGTTTTGTGAGGATCCGGTGAGACCGTTTTGTAAAATATCGAGCACCCTGCAAATGTTAAGCAAGATTATTATTATTATTGCCATTGTTGTTAGCCTTCAGTGATTTTAGTCAAAAAGTTTGTGGGTAGATTTCCAAAGGAAAGTTTGGAGCTAGGATAACAGCCGAGAAATAATGGAGAATGTTAATGGCCTCTTTAGGGCCTTTCCTAGCTTCCTAATTCTCTGTGTATGGTACACATGGGTATAATTATATCACAAATTAAGCCCTTCTCAAACTTATTCCCCAATGAGTTGGTTAACTCTTCCTTCAGAAGGATAAATTTCCTCAACCCATCCCAGTGATCTGGAGGACCAAGATCTATGTATTTTTTAATAATCTTAGCTTGTCTGGTGTCAATAGGAAAGAGTATTTACTACTGTTTTCCTTTCAAAAATCTGTCTAGTTGCATGCTAGAAACAGTTTCGGCTGGTTTGTTTGTCTTGGACAAGCTGTTGAAGTGAAAATTTTTTGCTTGGCTGAATGTGGGACAGTTTCATAACCCTTCAAGAAGTGCATTGACGGTGGGTGCCAGCTCTGACGGCTGCTTCTAACACGCCTCCCTTGCAGCCCACTGTCAAGGGTGGCTGGCATAATTAAATTAAGAAAATGAGCAAAGCAACAGATGCAATGGAGACCAAGTCCCTGAGTGCTTTAGTTTTGTCACTCTCGTTGTCTGAAACAACGAGGTCACATGTAAGAGCCTGGGAAAAGAGCCAAATACAAACCAGATGACATCCCAGCTGGTTTTGAATGGCCTCCACCGTATTCGTGTGTGCATGGGAGCCATGCTGCTTGGAGCAGAGTTGGCTACTTGGAGCAGACTTGACTTTACTCAAGGGAGTTTCTGCCCATAGTTTTGTTGTGATGCTGAGACAAACCTAGAAAAAATAGAGGATCCCTCTGCTTAGACTTCACACTTAACACCTTCTGCTCTGAGAGAAAAGAAAAAGAATTCCACTGTTGGAAACAAAGGCTAAGATTGGCCAGTCTAACCTATTTGCTATGGCCATCATGAATTCAATAAGGGTATCAAGAAGATACCTGAATGTTTTCTTCTAGAACATTCAAGTTAATTTGACTTAAGATGAAGCCCAGGGATTATACACCCCACGTAGTTTTCTTTTGTTGTGTTAACATTTAATTCTTAAGCATTTTCCTAGTTTGGGGATTATCCAGATTCTTAGAAATCTGTTTCTGAGCTGAGAAGGTAAAACTCAAATTAGTGTATTTTGCTTCCTGTTAGTTAATTTGGTTAGTAGGTTGGCAGAGAAGTGACATTATTTATAATAGCTGCTTTGGGTTTGGATGAACCACATACTATCAGTAGGATCCATTAAGAAGTGAACAGAAATGTTTCGAGAAACTTGGGGACATGAGTGATTCTACTCTCTACTCCCTTATGTCTTTCTTTCATTTTTCTAGAGAACTCCTGTAAGAATAAGATGTACGATTAGGAAGACAAATTTACTGGTGTCTTAACAAGTGATGCTGTGTATAGCAACAAATACATGCAGAGTGGACTTGGTAAAATGATATTTGGGGAGAAAGTGCCAGAATTCTAAACACATGATATTTGAAGCTATCCTCTACAAAGGTCCAATTTTGTCCCACCAGCTTGTTGCAGTCACCACTGAACTAGATATTTTAATAAACATTTTTACACAATAATGTCATCTCCCTTCTCTTCAGTCAGTACACGATATTGACCATCAGCTCACAAAGTGCTAACCAACTTTCATGAAGGACTTGGTGATAACTCTAATGCCCCATGTGGAGCTGAAAACCATGTGTTAGAGAGATTGCCAAATAATGATGGGCCTACAGTGTTATTTCCAGGGAGTGGAAATTGATTTTCCCTTAGCCTCAGCATTAAAACCTGTTACTCTTTCTGGCCTTGGGTCTCAGGTCTGAGTGCTTTCTAAGGTCCCTTAGCTCCTAACAATATTGTGATTGTGTGAGGCAGTCACTACCTTAGCCAAAAGGAAGAGTTTGGGAATTCCAGCCACTTTGGTGAGAAATCTTGTTATCAGTCTTGATGGAAACATTTTCTGGGGAAGAAGGGTACTGTGGCTCTTGTACCTCACTCTATACCAATAGTTGTCCACTCCATCCTTCCAGAGCTCTGGCTAGAGGTGAAACCAATAGAGGAAGCACTGTAAATGTATGCATGTAAATACCATGTCCCCCTCGATTTTGTTTCACGTATCCCTTATTTGTCTAAGTAAATTTTTCTATTTAAATATTATTTTTTAAAGGATAAAATAATAACTACAGGAAAAGTATGACAATTCTGCAAATTATCACAGGGCCCCTCATACTCATCCATTCATTTATTGAATTCATTCTACAAATATTTATTAAGCACCTGCAATATCCTGGGCACTGTTCTAGACACTGGGGCTGTAACAATGAACAGACAGACAAGTCCCTGCTCTCATAGAGTCTATAATCTAAACAAAACTCAACATTCCTTGGAATATTGTTGTTTCTTCTTCTTCTTTTTTTTTTTTTTTTTTCCCAGCATTGCTTCTTGTTGAGTGATCAGTAGCTCCAAAGCAAGAAACTCAGGATTTTTAGTCCAGGGATGGTTAATTTTCAATAGAGATGAAGTAATATAAGAAGAACAAATATGTAATAATAATAATAGCTAATACTTATGTAGTGCTTACGATGGGCCAGGCCTATTGTAAGTGATTTTACATACATTGATTATTCAATCCTTAATCTTATAAGGTAGATACTATCATTATCCTATTTTTATAGATAAAGAAACTGAGGCACAAAGAGATTGTCACTTATTCAAGTCTACATAGCTAGAAAATTTAAGAGCTAGAATTTGAACCCAGCTTAATATGTCATACCAAAAGAAAAAGTCTGTGATTTTACATATGTCTAAATCAATTACAAAACATCCCGGTCATCTACTTTGAAAACCCTGCTTCTCTCCAGATGAAAAAAAAAGAAAAGAGAGCAAACTGCAATGAAACAACAAAGTATGATCCCAGAATCCATTTTTTTATTTTTTGTTGTTGTTGTTGTTTCCTCACTAGGAAAAAAATGTTACAGAGAAGGCTGGATTTTCAGGATGCCCTTCCTATCAGTGAATTAGTGATAGCAGTGGAGAAACAGGAAAACGCATCTTTGTGTCATTATAAAGAAATCTGTGATATCTGTGTAACCACAGGTACACAGAAGTAGCCTGGGTGAGGTTTGGCCAAAAGACCTGTTTATGTTCTTCTCAGAAACACTAGGGCCGGAGGTTGAGATCCAATGCTAGAAATAGATGGGTACATAAAACTTCATCAAATTAATGTCATTTTTTCTCCCTTGTTTATAGGAAGTACATTTGAAGAACACAAGTAGAGGGAGTACAGGAAACAAGAACTACAGAATGTAGGAAGACTGTCTTGAGGAGTGAAGAATGACATGCCACTGGCGGAATCCTTTGCTCTGCATATGTTACCTGTTAAACATTGGAAGATCTACCAAAAAAACACATTTGATAACATTTCGAAAGATGGGCATTCCCCCCAATGAAATACGCAAGTAAACATTCCAACGTTGTCTTTAGGAGTGATTGTTAAAAGCTTTGCACCTTGCAGCTATGGCCCTGGAATTGGTAGATTGCTGTTGATCCTTTATCAATGATGTTCTATAGAGAAATATATATATATCTATCTATCTATATATATATATATCTTAGTCCCTGCCTCTCAAGAGCCACAAATGCATGGGTGTTTCATAGATCCAGTTGCACTAAATTTGTCTCTCCATCTTGGCTGTTGGAGCCATCCATTAGCAGCCTTGTCTAAGTGGTTTTATTAATTTTTTTCTTATTTGCACTTCTTTCTACGCAACACGGGCTCTTTGTTTTACAGTGTCTGATAACCTTGTTTGTCTATCCCCATTGCCGCTCCATCACATTTGTATTTGCCAAACTTGGCCTCCTCAATAGCAGCAGTAAGCATCAAGTAGCACACTCATTTTTAACCCACAAGATTCCATCTGTGGCATTTGTAGTAAATATAAGTTGGATGCATTTATTTTAGACACAAAGCTTTATTTTTCCACATCTTGCTAAAATTAAAAATGCAAATAGTTGCAACTTCAAGGCCAATTGTTTTTAGGCGCATGTTTTAAGCACAGAAAGTCTCAAACTCTCAATGGTTCTTTTGAATGATGAGTTAGAGTGCAACCTAATTAGTAACTTCCCTTTTTTTATTTTTTCCATATAGAGCAGTATGTAAATTTAGCATATCAATAATACAGAATATATCAAACAGTATGTAAAACTCTGTTTTTTTTTTAGTACAATGGTGCTATTTTGTAGTTTGTTATATGAAAGAATCTGGCCAAAACAGTAAAAGGTGAAAGCAAAACAAAAGATGAAGCCTGGAGCCAAAGATCACACAAAGAGGAAGGGTACTGTAAAACTCATCCATTTGGGAAAGAAGGCAAAATCCCCCCAGTTATGCCTTCCAAAAGGAACTTAAGACACAAAAGTCCACCGAGGTAAATTTGATTGGCGAGTCCAGAGAGGAAGCCATGAGTGGAAAAAGCATAAAGCTAGGAATTTTAATAGTCCTGGTTTCTTTTTCTCACTGAAGAAACAAACATCTACTGGCTCTGCCATGGACTCACCACTGTGTGACCTTGGGCAAGTCACTTCACCTCTCTGTGCCTCAGTTTCCTCATCTGCAAAATGGGGGCAATATGTCATCTACCTACCTCACAGGGGTGGTGTGAGGATTAAAAAGATAATGCTCCAGATTTTTATCCTGGATTGCTCTGAGGATGCAATGTCAGAGCCCTTGAGTTGCTAGGATGCAAGGAATTCTGTAAACAACCCTTTCACAGCATAGCTAGAGAATTGATTAACCAAATGCACCCGACATCTCAAGTCTTGTCAGTGAAACTCTCCAAACAACTCAATAGCTTTTCAAACACTTTTCAAATTAAGTTAGAAACATCTGATGTACACTTGAACTTTGAATTCTGCATTAGATTTATGAATACAAAGATAAGTAAAACAGCAAGCAAGAAAGAAAAAGACAAAGGAGAAAAATTAAAAGAGATTTCTACCAGTGTAAGGGTGATTAAATTACTCCATTTGCTAGAACTCAATCGCTCTTCCAGGCAGTTACTATCTATCTAGTAATACCTCTTTTAATACTATAAATGAGAACTCTCTTCCTTTTGGAAAACATATTTATTTCTTCTCTTTAGGCAATATGAGAAAAATGGCCCTACATTTTAAATATTGAAATAATATCTAATAAAAAGTCACAAAGTTACTTTCCTTAATGAATTTTACTCTTACCTTTGGGGGTGTGTGTGGGTGTGTATGTGTGTGTGTAGTGTGTAGTATGTGTATCACATATATATATATATAATTTTTGTTAAAATATGCTAGACTAGAGTAGCTCTTGGAGAGGCAATAATTCCTTTAAATCGGAAAGTTTCCCACATGTCTGCTTAAGAGAGTGGCTCCTACTTAGCCCTCTGTGGTTTGTCTTAACCAGTCAACTAAAAATTGCTATGGAGAATTTCTCATGGTGGGGATGGGCCCTTAGTAGCCTAGAGAAGGGTTTCCCATCTATGGATCAAGATTTTCTTATTAGAACAATAAATGACCCAGCATTTAGTTCTTTTTATCTGCCTTAGAACTTTTTGGTGAAAAACACCCAAGTTTGATTACATCATGCAAACTTTATCCTTTATATTCTTGGGAAGTTTATATGAAAAACAAAAATAACCACATCTTTGGTTATCCTCCCACTGGGTCATCTCAAAGTTTAGAGGCCAGAAAAGAGACTTCCTCGATCTCTGAATACATGCAAAAGGAAGGCACTCTTGCTCAGTCAACAAGCGTGTTAACTCTCTCAGTCCATGGCATGATTTGAATTGAGCACCTTGGGCATGCTGAGCAAGGTTCTGACCACTATAGACAGATACAAAAGAAACTAAGTAAGTAAGTCATTTTTGCCCTCCCCCTGTTTTCCAGACAGAGGTTCTGTGGAGGAGATGCTGGGCTGTCCTTCCCAACATGGTACTTCTGACTTTTATTTTCTTGTTCCCTGTGTGTATCTTTAATATTACTGACTGCCAGCGAAACTTTACAGGCACAATTCTGCCAATTTACGAGTTTCCTGACATAGATGGATATGGTAATTCTAAGAGTAGCTATGACTTATTCTCTTGATTCTATTCCCAGCCAAAAATCTCCCAAGGTAGAAAGCTTTAACATGCAAAGCCATGTTATCTTTCTTAACTTTGGCCAACACATGACCCTCTCCTACTCACTGCCATCAAGTCTATTCCAACTCATAGCGACCCTATAGGACAGAGTAGATCTGCCCCACAGGGTTTCCAAGGAGCAGCTGGTGGATTTGAACTGCTGACCTTTTGGTTAGTAGCAGAGCTCTTAATCACTGCACCCACTCTCCTACTGGCTTATAAATCAACTAATTAAAAATCGACTCTTGCACTAACCCACTATTTATTTTCAAAGGAATAAACTAGAAGATAAATTGATATAAACTCTCAAAGTCAGTTGATCACTATATAATACAGTGGAATGACCCGGAATTGATACAAGGGAGCAGCTAAAATTTCCCAACTCAAAACTTTATAAGCTTTACTTTAGAATTCTATTGCTGTAGAATTTAAAAATGGGACAATTTCAAGATCTTTATGAAAGAGCTATAAATATCGGTAGGAATGAGCTTTCAGTGGATAGGTTAATGTCCAGTTTAATTGACAGTACTCAATACCTAGATCAAATCTCTGTTCCCATCTCCCCAAAGAGTATAACAGTCTTATTTGAACATTTTAAGGTTTAATTTGCACATTAGGATCCCACTCTCCTAGAGATAAAGAAAAACTCAACACCCACCCTACACATACACACACGCCCACACAAACACGCTCACCCTAAGCGTACGATGGAATAACACAAATACGCGCTCACCCTAAGTGTACAATGGAATAGTGAGAATCAAAAAAATCACTTAATCTTAAAAAAATCTTAAAAAAAACACAAAAACTTGCCTCCATTAAAGAATTCTCCCCCTCCTTAGAAAGTCCATGTTTGTGTAGATGAAACCACGTCATACGTTGTGGCTCCAGGGTTTCTGTTACTAGTTGATGCTCTTGGGAAAAGGCTTAGAGTAAAAGATGTATGTAGCACATTTTGTTTTCCCATTTATTGTTTGGCCAGCTCTGCCAATGTGGTGCTATTGTTTCTTTAAGAAAGTACTTGACTAAAAAAAGAAAAAAGAAAAAAAAAGAAAGCATAGACATATTTTTTTAAAGTATGAGAACAACAATTCTATAGATAGACGGCTTAATAAAATAGCATTAGGTCTTGTCACCACCACCTTTCAAGTTTTTATCACTCACAAGTAAATGTACTGTTCTCACCAAACTGTGAGTTTGGGGGTGCAGGGGCAGGAGATGGAAACGTTTAAAAATTAGAAGGCGCCATTATTTTGTTGGCTCTCAGACTCGGCAAAAATTAGCGACGTATTATCCACCGTAAACACCTTGATCAAGAGCATGGAGTATAAATAGGGAGGGGAAAAAAAAAAAAAAAAGGCCTTATAGGCAAATGGCAGAACCAAAGGATGATAAGGTTACTTACTGATTTTTGTGCTCTCTGCTCTAAAAACAGATATTTAGCACCTGGAGAAAATAAAAACAAAGAGGAAAAAAACCTCCATAGATTTACCTGCTAAAAACAGCTTCTGCCACACCGCCCTTGGGTGATTCTTTGGCATTTACTGGTTCGCAGAAGATATTCTCCCTTCACCTGAACATCTCAAAGAGCAGTGGCTCTCATGAAAAGCAATCACTGATCTCATTAGGAAGTGTTGGGATGTATTTCCTTGTGAGACGGGGGCTATCTACTGATAAGGAGAGAGAACTTACGAGAAATTGTTGACAGAGATGGCTAATAATCTGTGAAGATTTTTTTGTTTTTTGTTCTTGTTGTTTTTGTTTTTTACTTTATACAGTCTTAATGAAATCCTAATGTTCAAAAATGACTTGTTTCTTTTTCTTTTTTTTTAATATTGGAATGAGGAATAATAAGTTAAACCCACATAGACTCCTTAAAACTATAGGCTAGGTAGAAATGTATGTTTGACTTGTTGTTGAAACTATAATCAGACTATTTAAAGTGTTTTACTATTTTTAATCTTAAAAGAGTGTACTAATTTATTAGAGACAGAACCTTTTGGCTCTCTTCATAAGAAAGGGCGTCCCCACTCAAATCATGTGGACTTTCCCATCAGTGCTTTCAAAAGACAGATCGGATTTGTGCTATGTCATCATTTATTTTAAAATGGAAGAATTGGGATTCTTTTCCCCCTCCCTGTAATGAGCATAAAGTCCAGAATCTGAGGGGGCAGAAATAAGAGGAAAATTTTGTTGACTCTTCGTTTATTTTCAGTGCTAGTATTTAATCCTGTAGTACATATTTGCTTATTGCTATTTTAATATTCTTAAAGACTTTTCTGGTAGGTGTTAGAACCTGATACATATATATCTTTTTTGTGTGACTTTTATTTAAAAGTAAAGGAGATGAGAGGACTGTCTGAAGCTTTAAGTACATATGGTACAGGATAAAGATATCAATTTAAATAACCAAGTCCCTACCTGGAACAATTTTTTTTTTTTTTTTTTAAAGGAATCTCTCATAGATGAGACAGTGGGCCCAGGGGATTTCTGGATTTTATTCCTTCCAGTTCTTATTCTTACAGTATGCACCTCAGAATTTTAAAAAGGGTCGACCAACCTGGAACCCCAGAATTAAAGGAACCTTTTAGAAAAACATGCATTTCATGTGTTCTCTCTTAATTTATGATTACACATGGATCTGAAACATGGTCCCTCTCTCTCTGCGTTCTTCATCTGTCATTGATGTGGTCTTTTCAGGGGAAAACGACAATAACATTTTTTTAATTAAAAAAAAACACAAAAGTCTAAAT